GTGTAATATCTATAGTCTAAAAATAAATAGCATTAAACGTGACTCAGATGTTCATTATGAATTGGAAGAATTTCCATATAATTATTAAAATATCAATCTGAATCCGAATAATACATTTGTACAATGAAGAACTGTTAGATATTTAAAAATGCTCTTTGGCTGTTTGATATGAAATCAGCCTGAGATTAGAAAAAAAGACAAATAGTAAGAGACGGCATACTACTAGGTTTAAAAGCTTTTATGTCCATAAATAATTGTTTTTTTTTATATTAATACTGAGGAATATTAGCCTTCAATATCACATCATTCTAAATAAAATGATAAAATTGTACATTTGTTGGTGAAATTGGATCTGAACAGTTTAAACAGAATTCATCCATTTAGCTGCAAATAAGGCAAATATGATAGTATCTGGATCAATGGTGTTTTCAGCACCTGCACTGGGGAACAAATGATTAACCTTTTATTTGTGATGGACTGGATGGTTAACCAGTCCATCACAGCACCAGCACAGAGACAAATGAGGGAAACAACCTTTGCATCCATAAACTCATAAAGGTCATGGTAGAATTACCAATAAGCCTAACATGTTTTTCCCTGTAGAGAGCTGTAACCCAGAGGTGACACCATGCAGCTGGTATGATGTTATGGGATCCAACTGTGTGGGAATACCTCCTTCATATGCCATGAAATGAGCTGCTGCAGTGCATTCTGGGATTCACCCTTGACCAGTCTCTTCCCCACACGACTGAGGAAGAAACCCAACACTGCCTACAGTCAGATATAGAGAGCACCGTCAGTCACACAAACAACTGTAATCTGACTGTAACTTAATCAAGAATTTTCTTTAGTAACTGTAAGAGTTTAGATATTTTATTTTGCCATTAAGTTACTTTGACTGTATGTAGATGAACTCCAAACCTGTTTACAATTGTGTTCAGCTGAAAATCCACAACAGTGGTCGTTCAATATTTTTTTGAAAAGGGTCGATTAAAACTCAACATAGTCAAACCCAATAGTGTTGAATTAGAGGGTGAGGGTCTCTGGAAGGTTCCCGAGTAGAGCACATAAGTAGCTTATATGCATCATCTGAAAAGGCCACCTGACACCGTGGCACAATTTAAAATGTAAGCAACACTTACAGGTGATATGAACCTCTTTTCTGAAGATGCACAGTCAGACTATTTGTAAAATTTGAGTGACTCTTAACAGGAGAGGCAAGTTAAGAGCTTTAGTGTAGAGCCTCTCAGCTAGAGACCAAAGTGGATTAATGCTAGGCTCTCATAAAGAACACATTCCTTCATCTCGTCGTGAGTAGAAACACACACGCGCACACGTCCGGACATTAATGCTTTTGACTGTAAACATGAGAACATGTCTGTGTCAGTCAGGTCAGATCAGCTCAACCTTGACAAAGTGGGAAACGTTTCAATCGAGGGCAAGTGGGGGAGAAGCTAAAATACAGATCATAAATAATTTCTAAAGTGACCATATATGACATGAGGATTTTTTTTAATGGCATGTATTCATAGTGTCAATGGCTCTGTAAAAGTGACAGGCGTTATCCTAGGAAATTATGGCTCCAATCATGATCTCTGCCATCAGTAAAGCTTCACTCTAATATCACTAATGGCCACTATGGTAATTGTAGTACATTAAAGGAGGCACGTTATGTCTTTCGGAAATTTATGACAATGTTTTGGTTTATAGCGTTTCATACGTTCCTGTCTAACTCCAGTCATTTCCATAATTGTGCTTGACACAGGCTGACTTAATGTGATGCATTAAAGAGTGGCATAAACAGACACTGTGTATCTATTAAAAAGCTTAACTGCTTGCTCTGCAATGGGCTGCTGGAAGCTCAGTTTTCGCACATAAAAGCTGGATAAGGTGAATAATTTATCATTCTCATCCCTCCCTATGAAAGCAGAACATATCCTGCATCTGATCAGAGGAACAGAAGACAGAAAAAAACTCCAACCATGCAGTAAATTGTGAACCAGGCCTAAATTGTGAGTCAGTTTAAATTTGAATGGGGAGTTATGCAACCTGCTTGTGTTCTGCAGTGGTGGCCCCATCTGCTGGGGTTCCCTATTGCAGGCAGAGGCCAGCCAAGCTGTCTAACACATGACGACTTCAGTCTGCTGTGGGTCGGCTCAATAATTCAGAATTCCTGCTCAAGACCGGCTGAGCCATCTGAGACACCACCAAGGTTTTACAAACAGACGCTGGAAAACTATCACTGGATATCACAGGCTGTTTGCACAGCTCACTATCAACCTAATGTGCTGAGTCAGCAATCTGCTTTATTCCAGGCAAGATTTTCATAGTTATCTGAAACTTACAAAATACATAAAAAATCTAAAATTGAGAAAATATTTTAGTTAGCTGAAATTAATAGAAATAGAAGTATATATATATTTTTTGCTATATATATACAAATCTAGGGTTGGCAAAAAGCGTTAAGTAAGCATTCACCAACTGGTAAGGAGTGTGGACCACATGACAAAAAATAAGAGAAATAGATCAACAATATTTTCATATTACTAAGGTTCTTAATTTGGTAATTCCTGCAATGCAAAATAGCATGCTCTATCAGCTCATCTTCCCCACAGTCATATTTCCCTGTCTGATGTTCCCCTTTCAAAAATAATGAGCTTTTCAATTCAGTGAGTCGAAAGTCTTGAAATAATGATGTCTTCTTTCCTGTTTCTTTCTGTTCTTCTCATTTCTTCAATTCTCTTTTAGATTTTTTAAAACCACTGTCATTTCTTTCCTTCTACTCTCAACTTTTGCAACCTCTTTCATTTATTGTTTCATTACACCCTTCATTTATGTTTTACTAAAACTAACATAAATGTCTATCCTTACCTGATTGGTGTTCTCTTTAGCCATCATGTCTGCCATTTCAATCCCCTTAAACCTGTGATGTGCTGGAACCCATATAACATGTACCGTTACCCTCATCACATTGATTCTATAAAGTGTTTGTTGTATTTTAATTAATATATCTGGTCTGTGTCACTTTCTCTCCCCCCTCCTCAGCCTGACTCCTGCTCTAACTCCTCACACTTGCAATGAATTAGTTCACCAGCCCAGGTCAGTCGAGCTCTCAACCTTCCCAGTATTTAAGCTCCTCATGGTCTGTCATTACTCTCTAGTTCATCCTATTACTCCACATCACCTCTCCTCGACTCTTCCTGTTAGACTTAAAAGTCTCAAGAAGTTCCCATTTTGAGCAGCTTGACCACAAAGTTTCTGTTGGGTTTATTTTGTTCCCCAACCTGCAAGAATTAACCAAAGACACAAATTACTTTTCTGCAGAAGAAGGGAGCAGAGCCAGACATGGAGAACCGCCGTCATACACTGTCTGGGACCAACTCTGCCGGCTCGCAGTCCCCAACTGCCTTTTATTAAGTTAACAAACAAAGAGGTTGGGCTTTTCACACAGTCACACAAACGATTGATCAATAAGCTTTCCAACAAGATGTTCTGGAATTCTTCTATGGACACAAGGATGACCGTTATAAATCTGTTCCTCAGGAAGCTGATAACACAGACAGCTAATGATCATAGCAACCAATGATTAAAGTAGCAAATGACAAAAGCAGCTGGTAACACAAGCATGTGTAAACATTTCTAACCCCCCAAAAAAACGTCTGAAAAAAAGCTAAGACTGTACCACAAAAGAGTCAAGAAAACAACACACAGAATAATAATATGAAAACATAACCTTTCAGATAAACTCATAAGTAAATGAACTTAGATAATTTCCCTAACAGTTTCAATGTTTTTAGACCTCACAAGGCTTGAAGCCTCTATTCTTTTGTATTTAAATTGCTAGATGAGACTGTTCAGAACTGAGTGAGTGAACCATTTATTTGTGCTGATGAAATAGCACAAACTATTTTGCTCTTGAGGTAAAGAGTAAGTGCCCTGCGACAGACTGGTGACCTGTCCAGGGTGAACCCCGCCTCTCGCCCGGAACGCAGCTGGAGATAGACACCAGCACCTCCCGACCCCGTTAGGGAGAAGGGTGCTCAGAAAATAGATGGATGGATGGTAAAGAATAAGATTGTATGAGACAACACTCTTGAAGATGTCATGGGTGAGACATACCAGGTGGGCAAACATCAAAGTTTCGTATAGAACCAAACACAGACCTGAACCATCCCTGGTATTTCTGCCATGCCTTTCCTTTCCAGCTGTTTAGTGGCAGATCTGTCCGTTTCTGTGGTCCTTTGAGGTCCACAAACTGCTGATTCAGCACCTTGAAATTCAGGTTGAGTTAACAGGCAATATCTGAATTTTTTGTAAAACTCCCAATACAATGAAAGCCTATGGTTGTCTCCAGCAAAAAAGTGCTGTTCACCTGTAGCACTTTCAAATTATCAGGAGTTCTGAACATTTTTTGTCATGGCCAAATTCCTTAAAATCCTTCTACTCCAATGAAACTGGAGCATTCAACCCGGCATGGGAGGAATATAGAAGTGCATAGCCAAAATCTTGTGCTTGTTTTCTGCACAACAAAGTGTGTGGGCTACTTCAAATGCATTTTGGTATAAAAGCACTCAGTCTCAGTCATTGATAACACTCTGACCGAGAACATCTGATATTCAAACATCAGGATCATATCTTATATGTATTGATGACTTTATGATGACAAAATGACATCATAAAGATCTTTGTGATGTGGAAATGTGCAATGCAAATATTGATTGATTGATTGATTGATTGATTGAGTGTGAGAAGAATGAAACAGAATATTAGATTATTGCCAATATGAGGTACTCATGAGTCACATGCTTTCTAGGCTCAGCACAAGCCATCACCCTGTTCTTTGTCCAGAAACAAAGCTGACCATCTTTTCCAACTTTTCTTTCTCACTCTGGAGCATCTTTGCGCATCCTCTGACTATCCTCCTCCTCCTTGAAGAACACGCCCCAGCAGCCTCCAGCCTCCAGCACACAGCAGCAGCAGCAGCAGCAGTGAATCTCAGCTCCGCCGCCGTGTCGCACCTGGAGGGCGATCCGGTCCGACTGGACTTCCCGAACAACTTCTGTCGGAGTTCCGAGGACCTTCGGAGAAAGCAAAGACAACAGAGCCAGGAGGAAACGCTCTCTGCCTCCTTGCCAGTGGTTTTCTTTTGGGCTCCTTTCTGACATCCCGAACTGACTTTTCATCTCCACATCTGTCCTCCAATCCGCTCCCGACCTGCGGGGAGCCGCGGCGGTCCGGGTGCTCGGTCTGGACGGGAAGAACAGCCGCACGGTCCGGGAAAGGATGCCGCACAGGTAAGGAGAGACTCCGACATTTAACCCCGGAGTTAGCGGGGAAATGTGTGTAAGAAGGCGGTTCGGCTTGTTCTGGGTCACTTCTGAAGAAATCTGCAACGTCAGTGCTGAGAATAAAAGAAGCAGGTTAAGGGTCCGGGTGAAGTTGAGTTGAAGAATGCTCCAGTGGAGACAGTGGCCCTCACAGCCTTCACTTCTGTTTGGGCTCCATGACAGCTGGAGCAGTTCTGAACATTGAAAAGTTGAGTTTAACCTTCCTCTGACTCAGAGCCATCAGTCCCACCTGAGATGGGTCTATTGTTGTCTCAGAGGACAGGCATATCATCTTCACCTCTCCTCTGGTATAGTCAAATCTGGAGCAGAGAGGGACAGCAGAGGCAGGTGTGCAGGGATAGAAGGTGATTTTTATTTAGCTTTGGTTTCATAAAGACAAATAACCAGTTATTTGAATGAAAAGAACCAACAAGCAGGAACCTGGTCTGCACATGTGCAGTGATACGTTGGACTGCTGAATGTTTGATCAATCACACACTCCAAAATGCGGTCCTATGGTCATGATGACTGATCAGCCTGATGCCTCTGCATGCTGTGTCTTCTGTGTACATCAGTACTCAACAAACACCGTTCAGAGATAAGTACAAATGTTTGTTCTGCAGCACAGTTCTATTGGAAAATGAAACAGCACAGAGGCTGACGGGAGGCTCTGAGAGTTTCCTTCAAAATAAGCACTATAGCATCAGAAAGTTGAGAGTAGGTGAGAAAAAAAAAAGCAAAAATAAAAAGATATATATTTTTATAATAATTAAAAAATATATATTTAATTAATCATAAAATCTAATATATTTTCAATTATTAATATAAAACCTAAATGTATAAAAAATAATTTGAAATGTTATTTGCCATGCTCACCTGTCAAAGTGGGAAGATTTCTGAAACCAAAAGACAGGAGGGAGTCCATGAAAGAAACAAATGAATTTAATAGTTATTAGTCTTTGATCCAAAGCTGCTGTCAGTAGAATTTTTTCAGTCCTGATTTAAACCAACACTTTGTGTATATCTCAGGTTTTCAGGGAGTTTGTTTCAGAGCTGAGGAGCAAAGAAACTAAATGTTGCCAGACTTTGTTTAGATCTGGTTCTGGAAACTCTGAAGAGCTGAGGCATCAACATGGTTCATACATGACAGAAATGGATTTCAGACCCTTTAGTTCTTTATAATTCTGATGTTTATAAGGAACTTAAAAAAGACCAGTTACAGGCCTGCACTTACAAATGATTCTTTCATGCCTGTTTTAGAAATCATTTAATCTCCATAGCAACCACTCAGCTGTGCAAAACACCTAGTTGGACCTAGCTCCGCCTTCAAGGTGCAGCTCCTCCTTGAAGCTGCAACTTCCAGCTTCGGCTTCACAGGCTGGGCCCTTGCCACTCAGGGAGGGGGTGGAGCACAACTCACATTATACGAGTTCAGACTTTATCAACAATATATTTATTTACTCTGAGGGAATGAAGAACTGAATCTATGATGAAGTTCTGTATATACTTATAGAATATTCACTAAACCAGACGCCCTCCTATCCTGACTCATCAGCTTCTTCAAACTACCCACACCAGGTGGAACTGCACATCTGCTGGGCTCATTATGTGAACTACTTCTCAGTGAAACTCTGGTAAACGTTAAATGGTTGACAGAGGAACCATGTTGGGTGACGAGTTTCAGAAAGATAAGAAGTTTTGAAAAGACAGAGGCCAATTTTTAAGGCATTAAATTGCAAAATCAAATTTCTTTAAAGCCATATTTGATAATCAAAGGATTTTTATTACAAGTGCATATAAAATTGTTCGTTGAGTGTGCTATAAAATGACACTATTTGCCTTGAAAATACACAATACTCTCCCTTAGTTCTGGGCCTTAGTTCTGTGTCGATCAGTGGATCCTCAGTCCTGTTTGTTCATATCGTCACCTTCCTAAAATAATTGTCATTTGTTTTCGCCCAAAGTGATTTCGGCAAAAACAAAACTTCTACCAAAAAAAACACTGACTTCTTCCATTATTCTAGGAAGCTGGAACATGTGCTACATGTGGGACCCCTGCCCTGACCGCCCTTCCTCCTGTCCATGACATCATAATGACATTTAAATCTAAAATATCACTAAAATACAGAACTTCATCACAGATTCAAGTCTTCATTGCCTCAGAGTAAATAAACATATTGTTGTTGAAGTCTGAACTCATAAAGTTCTGCCAGAGGTCTGAATGAAGGTTGTGATGACACAGAGGTCCCTGCAGCTCGGACATCCCATTCTTCATAGTGACTGTTGTTGGCGCTTCTGCAGCCCTTGGTTGTAGGGCAGTTCTATAAACTCTGTCCTGTAACCGTCTGAGCTACAGCCAACAGGGCAGCTCACATCCTGCACCGCTCCACAGGCTGGGAAACAGAGAGGACGGGGACAGGGTGAGAGGTAGTGTTTTTCAAAGTGGGGGGGTCCAGCTGGGAGGCCACAGGGGGCTGTGGTGACCTCAGGAAGGTGAAGGGAAGATGATAAAAAGAAAATGCAAAAATAAATAAAAATGTGAATTCCATCAAATCTTAAATTTTTCACCATAAATTTTGTTTTCTCTTACTGAATCCCTTTTTAATATAAAATATAAGTTTAAATAATTGATTTAAATGTTTTTTCTGATGCTCCTGATCTGACTGGCTGTCAGTCAGATTGATCAAGTTGCTTTGCTCCATAATTTAGCAAAGCAAACTTTATGACAAGAAAGAGACCAAAAGAAGGAGCGCCGCTGTGAAGGACTCTGCTGCAAAACAATGTGGGAATATAATAATATTTGATGTGATTAGTATAAAATATTTAATATTTTCTTATTAGCAAAAGGGGGATTGTAATAAAAAATTGTGTGGTCTGGTAATATAATTTTAACAAGACTTTTTTGTGGTCAAAAATTATAAAGCTTTGCACCACATGGCACCCATGGCCATCTAAAATCAGATGGTGTGAGGCAGCATTTATGCTAAATAAATGTAATAATTATTCAACAGTGAATAAAGAACATCCTAAAAGGTGATGTGTCTTTACATATTTTTGTCAATGTATGCAGTGAGAGGTGGTGAGGAAGATGTTGAAATGAGGAAAGTGATGATTTAATGATGGATGGCACACAAATAATCCAAAAGTCCAGGCAGCACAGAATGAGCTGAAGGCTAAGGCTCATGACTGGTAACTATCAAAAACACAGACTTGACAGAAGACTAGCCACAACAAGGCGGATAAGACAAGGACCCGACGAGGAAACAGGGAACACAGGTGGGAACGATCAAGGAGTAGACAGGACAACACCGAGACTCAATAGAAACCTAAAATAAACATAAAGAAAAGTCAAACCCTCACAATTTTGTTGCATTGTCTGTGTGCCAGAGGTCAATTCTCTGAGGAACCATGACATGAGGTAGAGATAGGAGTCTGATTCCTGCTCGGTGTGAACACCGTTCCCGGTTTTGAAATGTTAAATAAGTGCCAAACTCCACCCACTGGGCCGCCTTGACCTTGGCTACCTGCTCCTGCTGCCTGTAAGAATCATCACATATCAGAGTTCGGCCCCGCAGCTTGCTATGTCATCACTCTACTCTCCCAATGGCCGACTTACTGTGTCCAATTTACAAAGACGTGTTTGGGTCACTGCAGCGTGGATTAATTTCTGCCCCAGCCAGCGATTATGAAGGCAGGATGGGACAAGGGGAGAGAATGGAGGGGTGAAATCTGACGAGGGTGCAGAAATTTGTCAGCTCTCAGCACTGATACCCTCATCCCAGTCATCTTCTAATGGATGGTGATATATGACTAAGGTGACCATATTCATTATTCCCACAGTCGTCCTCTTTGTTTTCCCCAGCATTGCTCCTTCCCAGGTCTGATCAAGTGTTCCGTTTTGCGGCAGAAATGATATGAGGAGGTGTGTGCTGCCGTAACATTTGAAGGACAGCATGTTGCAGAGCCTTCCAAAACAATATCATAACCCAAATCCATTAGCCATATGGGTTCCATTGACCAGATTTGCTTGATGCAATTTGGGCATCATCCCACTGCAGAGCCATGGTGCAAGGCTGGGATTCATTTCATTAGCTGCTGTTTTTATCCCCTCCTTCTAGAGCATTTCACACCCACTGCCAAGGACAGCTTCCACTTTAGATCTGCTCTAATGCAACGACAACAGAACTGCTAATGGGAGTGGTTACATAACACATTGTTTTACTTTAATAGCATGACCTCATTGACACACATCTCCCCCCCAAAAATGAGTAAAATTATTTAAAATGTTGACAAAACGTATTTGAATAAGTAAGATCTCATAGGGAAAGTGGACAGAATATTTTTTAGTTTTGATATGTTCTCACTAAAACAGAATATATCATCCCATTTTTAAAGTAATTTAACTGCCTCCCTGGAGATGTCTTAGCACCATTTAGGTCTGGAATGTTGTTGTATCAACCTTCCAGACCTCTCAGGTCTTCTGATTCAGGGTATGCAGAGCAGAACCAGAACCAGAAGACCTGAGAGATCTGGAAAATGGAGAAGCAGATTCAGCTTCTATTCTCCACAAATCTAGAACAAACTCCCAGAAACACAGAATTCCTTTAAATCCCGACTTAAAACCCATCTGTTTATAGTTTAGTAGTAAATGCATTTCATGCATAATTGCTTGATTATTTTGATATTTGACAAATTGTAATGTTTATGGCTTGTTTCACAACTGATGCCTGTATGATGTATATATGATGTACAGCACTTTGAACTGCCTCGTTGAAAATGTGCTTTACAAATAATGTTGACTTAACATAAGGAGATCCATGATGAGACTCAACACTGATATCAGGTCAGCCACTCAGCAGGAACAGATGCTGGAACCACAATTCAAAAAACAGAATACCATCAGGAAATCTTGCAGAACCTATGAGATGCTCCCAAATATGATCACGTGCTCATATACATAGTATGTG